CACTCATCACCCCCACCCCCCCCCCCCCATCCCCCAACCCCCTGAACAGTCTTATTTATTTCACTTAATGATCGTTATCGCCGTATGGCGAGGTGGTAGGTGTTAAGAGAGGTTGTTATTTTTTTTTCTCGCTAAGGGCACATATTTTTAACATCGCTTTAGACCAGAGGTTCCCAAATTGTTTCGAGTCATGGCGCCCCTGCTGCATCCGGGTTTTCCCCAAGGCGCCCCACCTCAAATCACGCACAATAGCGAATATATTGTTTTCACTCATTAAATTAACTTCGCCTTTGTTCGTGTGTTTCTGGCTGGCAAAATCCTGGCAAGGTCCATTGACCAACGTTGCGTCAACTTATCGAGCTGAAACTTGGCACATCTTCTCGTTGCCGATGACAACACATTCTAGCAAATTTTCAGCCCCATCCCCCAAGCCCCCCCCCAAAAAAAAAAAAAAATCAGCTTTTTTCCTATTGTTCAAGGGGAAGATGGAGGAAATATGCCCAAATTTGGCGCAGATGCACTCAGTGGCGGAGCGAGGGTGTTTGGCACCCGGGGACAAGATTCGCGCCCGGGGACAAGATCCATTTTTAGCGCCCCATTTTCTTTTTTTCAACTCTCAAACCCATTATTTTCATCAATAAAATTAATCAAAGCACATTTTGGCGCCCCTAACTAGCTGGTGCCCGGGGAATCTGTCCCCCCTGCCCCCACCACGCTACGCCTCTGGATGCACTGCCCAAAGGCGTAGCTAGTTTTAGTGCTGTCCTGGGTGGGCCAAGATTTTTCCCACCCCATTCACGATAAAAACTTTGCAGTTAACTAAAATCCTGCAACTCCAGAAAATATTTTTTAAAGACATGGAGAATGGAAGGCTTTCCCTATGCCCCTGGCATTGTACCCCCACCCCCACCCCCTGTTTACAAAGGTCCATGGGGAGGGGAATTTGTGTTACACAACTCAAGGATGGATAGACGCCCCTGGTTTGCATCTTGTCAGTTAGATGTCGTATAATATTAAATTATTTTTTTAAAACATTTTGCGGCACCCCTGTGAGGACCCCCGGCTCTTCCAGTGTGCCGGGTCACACAGTTGGGGAACCTCTGCCTTAGTCAATGAATTTCCCCAGTCACCACCGCATTTTGAAGACAGAAAACAAATGGCTTTGTCAGTAATCAATAATAACCGAGGTCCATTGCGGCTTTGATCTTTTTGTACCCTTATTCCCTTGAATTCTTGTGTCTCTCCTTTCGTGCTAGAAATAATTGTGGCGTATGTTTTAAGTCTTGGATTCGTTATTTGAACTTTTTTGTGTGCTTTGTTTATGTTTGTAGAAAAAAGAAACATGACCCACAGGACACATATTGATGACGCCATAGTCTTGCTCGAGCACCGACGTTAATTCATTCAGTACGCCTATAACTACTACTGAAAATCACTTCAGCAACTCACATTTAGTTCATAAACGATCGCATCTCAGATAGTTTACCCCGTTTTAAAAATCAAATTATTTGAATGACCATCCGTTCCGTAACGTTCTTCTTCTTTATCTGATGAAGTAAATCAAAAAGGAACTTGGAAGAAACCTTTCTGGGGATATTCAACTTGAAACAAATTGGAGCTTCTCTGGAAAATATTAATTTGAGAAATAATAAAAGGTGATTTAGTAGGGTTTTGTGCAGGATTTGTAAAAAAAAAATTATTATCTTTTATTACGTCAACAAAATAGGGGGTTGGGGGGGTTGGAAATGTTTGACAGTTGTTGACAAGGGGGAGGGTGGAGGTTTAGATTAGTTGACGTCAACAATCATGTTTTTTTCTATTAAAATTTTAATATTAAAAATTGTCTGGTTCTTACATTTTTTAAACAAGTGAATGAATGTAAATAGTCTGATATGTTTATGCTTTTAACAATGTAAGAGTTATTTAATATGTGTCTGTCTGTGCACTGCAGATGTTAACACACTTTGTTAGTGCACGAGAAGTCAAAAGTTGACATCTCTTCACCTGTCATTTTTATCTTAATCCGCTCCCTAGAATGATTAACACATCATTGTACACAGCGTTCAATTTTTAAAAACAAACACTAACTCATCGGTGTTTAATAACAACTATACCAACTCAAAGACAGAGAGAGCTTTTGACAATTATTGTTCACACAGCCAATGCTTCTATTTTAAGTGCTGAATGGTTAGATATGGATGATGTTGACTTGTCTGGTATATCAGTTCCGCAAGATGAAAATGATAAGTCCGCTACTATAGACTATGCCCATCAGGAGCGTCATTTCAGGTTTTTTCAGGGGAAGGGGGGGGGCAAAACCAAAACTTGGTCGTCTTGTTAAGTTGTTTATTACTGAAGGTGCCACAGTACATAGCAATTTAAATAAAACAAGCAAACTCGAAGAAGAAAAAAAAAGGGGGGCGGGGGGAAATGCCCCCATGCCCTACCCAAATGATGTCCCTGATGCCCATTGTTACGCTAGAGCAGCACCTGGCTACTCCATGGGAAAATAATAGCAGCTAGAAACTATACTATAATTGTCAGCTATACTGAAAATAATCATATTTATACTTCCACAAACCATGATATTTAGTCTTTAACAAACTTTTAAATGATTCTGCATTATAAAACTGTAAGTATAAAAAAAAAGTTTCAACTTGTTGATTAACAAGCTATAGATGTAATGAAAGGTTTTTCTTGCAATTTTATACGATTAAAAATACATGAGCACAAAGTAAAACGTATTTATGAATTGACTGATATTACAATTCATTTTTTTTTTGGGGGGGGGGGTAAATGTTGACATAATTAAATACGGGGGGTCATAAAAAGTTTGACAGTTGTTGAAAAGGGGGGGGGGGGTTTAAAGACTTGCGGAAAAATTGTTGACGTAATTAATGGATGACCCCATTGGCAAGTTTTATTGTTCTTAAAATAATTAGTAGTCTCTAGTTAGCTAGTCTTAGTAGGCTCAATACGGCCTGGGCTACTATGAATAGATTTCACTGTCTGCTTTGTACAAGCAGTACTGCTGTGTCCAGATTAATTTGTTAACACTTCATAGGCAGTGCTAGTGTGTATATCACAACCAGTGTTTTTATGTTCGGCTATCAATATCTGTTACGCACAGCTTTTGTCCTCCATTGGCCAAAGAAACTAAATCACCGCCATAACGGTTCCAAGCGTCTAAGGTATCGTCCTACTCTTTCTGTCGGAGGTATCGCCCTACTCTTTCTGTCGGAGGTATCGCCCTACTCTTTCAGTCAGATGTATCGCCCTACTCTTTCGGGCCGAGGTATCGTGCTACTCTTTCGGTCTGAGGTATCGTCCTAATCTTTCGGTCTGAGGTATTGTCCTACTCTCTGAGGTATCGTCCTACTCTTTCAGTCTGAGGTATCGTCCTACTCTTTCAGTCTGAGGTATCGCCCTACTCTTTCAGCCTGAGGTTTCCGTCTACTCTCTCTGTCTTAGGTAACGTCCCACTCTTTCGATATGAGGCATCGTCCTACTCTTTCTGTTATAGGTATTGTCCTATCCTTTCAGTCAGAGGTATCGCCCTACTCTTTCGGTCTGAAGTATTGTCCTACTCTTTCAGTGTGAGGTATCTTCCTACTCTTTCCGTCTGAGGTATCGTCTTACTCTATCAGTCTGAGGTATCGTACTACTCTTTCGGTCTGAGGTATCTTCCTACTCTTTCGGTCTGGGGTATCGTCCTACTCTTTCAATCTGAGGTATCGTCCTACTCTTTCATTCGGGGGGGTATCGTTCCACTCTTTTGGTCTGAGGTATCGTCCAAACCTTTCTTTTGGACCAACCCAAAACAAACAAAAATGGCCATCCTTCACAAAGCACCTCCTTTCTATTGAGATCAATTCTTGTATTTAGTGTGTTGGAGGGGGGGGGTGAATCAAGATATAAACATGATAAGTTTCCAATATAAGTACATTCGTTTAATTTAAAATGTTTAATGTTCCCCCCACCCCCAAGGCAAACTGTCATCAACATCTCGTGATACAGCGTGAATGGTTGTTTTTTTTTAAAAGATTTTTTCTTTAGCATATTAATTTTTTTTTTTAACGCGTCACGTGCAACTATTGACCCCGGGGAGGTTGGGGGGGGGGGTCGTCTCCGCCCGCCCTCTGTTGTACTTGTCAATTGTATTATCGACGTGATGTACAGCTGGCCTAAAAACTTGAAATACGAGTCAGAGGCGAGATTGTAGTGATCGGTGGATTGGGGGGGGGGGGGGGGGGGGTCGTCTCCGCCAGCCATCTGTTGTACTTGTCAATTGTATTATCGACGTGATGTACAGCTGGACTAAAAACTTGAAATACGAGTCAGAGGCGAGATTGTAGTGATCGGTGGATATGGGAGTTCATCTCTGTGTAGGAATATGGATACACTTTTTTTTTATGCCAAAACTAGGTCACCCAACTAGGTCACCCAACTAGGTCACCCAACTTATGGCGAAAAGCAACAATGAAAAAAAAAAAGAACCCAGTAAAACTTGAGATTTCATTTTTTTAAGTTTCTTCTTTTTTTTTTTTTAAATAAGATTTCTTTCGTTTTAATCTCATAAAAAAACATATTATAATTAACATACAGTAAAAATTATGAAATTCACCTTTTATTTCCATGTTGCAAATGCCATTATGGATTTTTTTTTAAAAATAAATATGTAAATTCTTGACAGACATGTGTAAGAATCAAATGTTTAAAGAAACTGGCGGAATATTTCCGATGAAACTGGAGTTAATTGAAGTTTTTTTGTTTTTTTTTAAATGCGTAGACACCCACGCATTAGAGGTGATGGTTACGCCTCTGCCATGAATTAGACCGTAAAACATTCTTTCTCTTTGTTGCCTATAAGCCACTCGCTACACAACAAGGCGCAGTTTTCAATTTCTAAAAAAAAAAATCAATTAAAATCTACTTGAAAAATCTCAGCGTTTTTTTTTTGGGTGTGTTTTTTTTTTTTGCTTGAATACTTACGCAGAATAAAACACTTCGATCCACTCTCTAGGCTGGATGTAGATGACTTAGTTATTATGTTTCAAAAGTGTTTGTGAATTTCATACAGGGAAGTTTGATTTGCTGTAACGTAATATTTTCACACAGAAGTTTGGAGTACGAATGTAAATCTTATTTTCTCCTGGAGACTTCAGTTTCGGAAGGCTTCACATTATAGTTGTATGTTTATTGTTGTAAAATTGTGTGCGGTCATTTTCATTGCACTGACGTTGAAGATTAAAAACAAAATGGCCGATGCTCTTGTCCAGATGGCGCTGGTGCTCATCTTGAATGCTGTTCTGATAAGTTGCCAGGAAACAAGCGCCCTTCCAGGCAGTAATCCACAAACCGTTGTCCTGCAATCGCCGTCTTCCTATCTGCCGACCGATGAAGTCTGGCAATACGACACACGTCCGGTGCTGGCCACGACGCCCGGGGACTACGGCGTGGTGGAGCCCAACACGACCCAGGCTTTGAGCTCTCCGGCATCACCCGCAGAGTCAGAGAACACGACATCGGGCATCGGGTCGGAGAGCGTCGACTCGTCCAAGAGCGGGCAGGCGGACGACCTCGCAGCCTACCTCGTCCAGAAAATGGGCGAGATCTTCTACGGAGAGGATACCCCAAAAGAGGAGGTCAAGGACACCCATTCGTTGTCCAACTGCAGCGAGCCCGTGGGTCTGAGCCAGTTCTCCAGCTCGGTGCCCGACTCGGTGCAAGCGTACTTTGACGATGACGTCACGTTTCATGGCATGTGCAAGAAGTTGTTTGCACCGTCCGTGGTTGAACAGCTGCAGAGCGGCTGCCCCCGGGGTGGATGGTGTCTGGGCGACGGGGTCCGTCAGGTAAGAAGTCCAACCCAATGGGGTCTGTCCCTTTTTTTTAAAGAGGGTAAACTTGTCAGAAAGAAGTCAACTTGTTATCGGGTGGCGGTAGAAAATATGAGAGGGTATTTCGGTGTTATGGCGTTTAATTTGATTAACAATTTTGGCATGGTGGTATTTGGTCGGGGTAATCGACAATTTAAAAAAAGAAATTCTTTACAAATAATAATATATAAGTAATATTAGCAAATATAACTAGAAAATCACTGGTATAGATCCCTCAATGGTCAAAGGTCGCCGAAGTCACGAAAACGCCTTGCGTACAGAGGTAATAGAGAACGGTGTAATTAAGATCGGAAAGAGTTGGAAAGAGCTTGAGAAGGTTACATGGGGGGAAAGGCGTGGGGGTTGGTGGTGGGGGTGGGGGGTATTATTCATGTGGGGGTGGGGGGTATTATTCATGGCATATGCTCTTCTCTGGGCGTTGAAAAAAAAGGGCAAAGAAGAAGAAAGTTAGCTAAATCAATGACGTCACTGTCCCCATCAAACACCCACTGTTAATCTCTAAGAATATGGTTATTTTATTGTTGCAAACAAAAAAAAACTTCCAATTGTAAAGTAAATAGATATCTCAACTCTTTGAAATGAGGGATGGTGTGTACACATCCGCACAGAGCTGTTTTGGGAAGGGTTTTATGCCCTCTAGTTGATTCGAAACCATCAGCTTTTTCCAGATTATGCTGTTTTGATATTTCAGTTGTATAAGCAGATGCCTTGTTGTTGCTTTTTTACATTGACTTAAGCATTGGCGTGGCTGGGGTTAGTGCCGCCCCTTCAACGCAAAACACTCTGCAAGGTGGACGAAAAGGCCACCCCTCCATTTAAAGAAAAAAGTGCCCCCGCACCGGAACGCTACCCTTCCCACTCCCTTCCTACACGTTACTGCACTTAAGTACAGTGGAACCCCGCTACAACGCGATGATCGGGATCCATAAATTCGGATCGCGTTAAAAGCGGGGTTTGCGTTAATGCGCGGTTTTACAATATTTCCCGAGAACATATCCGTGTGTACATGTACAATGATCAAAAGTCGGCTTATCATCAGATGAAGAGAACATATCCGTGTCTACTAGTTTGAACGTGGTGCGTTTAGGGGCTCATTTTCGACGATATTTTGAAAAGTTGTGATTTTTTTTTTCGCTTTAAAAATTGGCTTTCCAAGCAATGGATAAAATTTTCAAAGAACTTAGACCT